TTCTCTACATCCACTGCTTGCCTTGGCTACCCACTTTGTTTTTCTGATATGTATGTAACTATAAAAAGCTTTGATTTTATGGTTTTCACTAACACTAATGACGTACTCTATCAACATTCTAGTACAGATCATTGGGAAAAAATACACGTCTGCCAGATAAAAGGCTTAAGAACATGTGGGAAAACCCCGTGTCTAGATGGTACATGCACACATGGGAAATGCAGTCAGATGTCACCAATGCTCCTTAAGAGAACATGATTTTGGTAAAGGTGAAATTAAGTAATGAGAAACCCAAGCATGCTTCATTGCAAAACTATCTGCTCTATTATAGGCACATGGGTCTGAGCTGCATGGACCTACCTTTTCTGTGTGGGGACTTATGTGCCATGTTTCCTAGCCCTAACTCTAAAGTGCTGTTTCTGTTTCATAGCTAGCTCCAAACTTTCATTCCCCTCAGCAGACTGCCAGTAGGGGTGGGAGGGGGATATATGGACTAAATTCGGTAGATTTTCATGAGCTAGTAGGGTATGTCTCACAGTATGTATTCACCTACAAATCAACTTTACATGATAAATTAATATTACAAACCAGCCTTAGACTATTCATTTCACAGGATTAAGCCTATCCCCATAATCCTACAATCTTGTTACTCTTTAAAACAAGTTCATTTTTAGTTAATAGCCTCCAATTTTTAAAAAAATAAAATGTAGAAAAAATCCAGTGTCGAATATAAATTTTTAAAAAATGCCTCCAGAGGGGGTGGAAAATCTCTTTTTAACTAACGAGAGACTAGAATGGAGTTGCCACCTGTATGGCTATCAACAGTGGTCTGTGGATTGTATATTTACCACAATTTTTAATAATAGCATGGCATTTAGCACCGAGTATCCAAACTTACTTCAGCTGCTTTAGCAAAAGTTGCATCTCCACACCCATATTCCCATGCATGCATCTGCCCACCTAAGGAGAGCACACCCCCTGTACCTCCACCAAGTACCTTTGGGGACAGGTAAAAGTCACTCTCTCCATTTCTTGAAACAATGTCAAAAGAAGCAACAGCTGTTCTCCTGGAGCAGACATACTACATGAACCATGTACTCTTCTAGAAACATCTCCACCTTTTTGAAATAACTGACCTCAGTAGAAAAGCAGTTCTATATTCTACCCAACATGTCTACATTTAACCTTGAGAGTAATTATTCCTCTAATGGTTTAAACAAAGAATAGTCACAGCAACCTAGAACAAGATCTCAAAAGTAGTGGGAAAAGTGCCGAATACATGCCCCCTACACCAAGTCTCTCAAAGATTAATTCTGTGAATGTTCCAGGCATGTGTGATAAGATACCTCTTCAGAAACATGAGTGATTATCTGAAAGAGATGTAGTGAATTTCTGTTTTAAAAGACTAAAAATAGGTGTCAACGCACAATCATAGATTTACTAGGTATTTCTGATCTCTTTTCAAGGATATGGCTATATGCTCATATAAATGTACATTTGTGAGTATGAAAAATATTACATAAAAATCAATTTCCTACCTCGAACTTAAAAATAAAAATATGTCCACAGACATTTAATGCTGCATGTCAATAGCTCTTCTTACATCCTCTGCTTTTCAATCAATAACACTCCAGCCATCAGTGAATATGCCCCATGACTCATCAGAAACAATGCAGTTAATGGGATCATCATCCCCCAATCCTCCACGTAACTCCTTGAGGCCTTGCGCTGCAGAAGACAGATTCAAGAGGCCACCAAGCCAGGAAGCAGTCTTCTCCTCGCTCCACGTGGAACCTGTCCTCCTGCCTCCAAGAATGCCCAGTACATCCATCTCTTTTTGACGTCTTTCAAGAAAATACCAGCAAGCATACTTTATATGGTTAGAAAAGAACCACATTTCTCTGGCTCCAGATTCACTGTGCGAGGCACAATGGACTTCAGTGATGAAAGTATCTGAAAGGAATGTCTCTAGGACCTGTGCCATCGTGCTTTGTTTGCAGCCAGACGCTGTCTCCAGACCATGTCTCTGCGCACACGAGTTCTTCCAAGCTGTGACATTACCTCTTTTTACCTTTCCTAACACTTGAACAAGGCCTGAGCCCCTCCTGGTGACAAGCTTTTGCTCCTGTGAATCCTGTATTAACACTAGGTCAAGGGTTGCGTATGCATGTGTTGGGTGTTTTTATTTTCCAAGAAGGAAAGTTAGAGCAGAGGAAAATACATATTAAGTTTCTGGGGATAACTGCTATTTACTGAAAACTCTACTTTAAAATAAATTTTAGTGACTTGTTTATGTTCGGTAACTCCAGGACAATGATAACTACAGTGTCTCTAAAATGTTCCCAAGTAGCAATCATACTCTATTCTGGCCTTTGAGAGGTGTTAAGACTCATCTCCTAATTATAAGCCTTTTCTCTGCTATTACGACCTCACCATTAAATCTCTAAACTAAGTAGTAGTTTTCAGGAAATAAAAATAGATGTAAGGTGGTATGTTTTTTCAAATTTTGGTTACAATGGATAAGAAAAATAAGGCATTTCTATGTATAATAAATTCTTTATCTTGCAAACTAAAAGTCAACTTCATTATGCTGTGACCAGCAAACTCTTTTTCTCAGAATACTGTTTTCCTTCTTTATTCTAGAATGGCACTCTCCAATACAAATATAATGTCAGCCACATTTATTATATTGTTTCCTAGTAGCCACTGTAAAAAAGTAAAATGAAACAGGTGAAATTAACCTAACAAGATCTACTGAGGCCAACAGCCACAACATTATCATTACAACATATAATCAATATAAAGACATTAATCAGATGTTCTGTTTTTTCCTTTGTCTGAAGTCTTCGACATCAGTACACATTTTACCCTACAGGAAGCCTCAATCTGACTAAGCCACATTTCAAGTGCTCTAGGAACATAAGGCTAGTGACTGACAGGATAGCACCTTCTAGATTCCCCAAACCATGGAGCTTTTGGGCTCACTAGGCCAGACACTTCACCATCCTCCTGTGTAACTTCTCTATAGACATGGCATGGCTGTTGGACTTCACACTGAGCCAATCATTCAGTGACATACTTCACCTCCTCCCTCCATGCCCCTGACCCTCAGGTCTTCGGCCCACCTGAATGTCATTTTCTCAGAGCATAAAAATTTCAATCACCTCTTCTTTTCAAACTTATTCCAAGTAGGACCTGAGGTGCTCTCTAGTCTGTACATCTCCAAAAACCCAGCAGAAAGCCAGCAGGTACAGGAAGACTACTGTGTTTCTATAAACAGGTATGTCAAATGCAGGCCTAATGTATGATGGCAGTCACAAATGCAAGAGCAATTTTTTTTTTTTTTGCTTACAATGAAAACAGGAAATTTTATATAACAAAGTCATATACTCTTCCTCAATCAGATATACGATTTTACTCTTTTCTCCCCCAAGAAGAAACCTTGGAAGAATCTCTTCTTGTTCTGGAAGAGAACCCAGTGTTTCATTTCATAGGAATTCTGTGCCCAGTGGAAGAACAGAATGTTGGAATAGAGTTTAATGAATTTGACTTGGAGTCTAAGTTTGCCTCAAATATGGAAGTGTAAACACAGTAATATCATCTCGAACCACACAGAACTTTGGTTTCTCTTTGGCACAAGTGCACAGAGTACCACAGTTGTACATCTACACATAGATTTGTTCTAGTTATATGAGGGAAAAAATCCAACTAGGCACATGTGAGGTTTTGCAGAGTCTCTTAATAATAATAAAACCCGATTATTATGTCTTAAGTGACAGTATAATTACAGACGGATGAACAGGTTTGCTGGCGCTGACCTAACCTGTTCTCTAAAGCACAAAAGGTAACTTTTGTAGTTCTCAGCGAGAAACCCCGCATTAAACTAAGAAGACTGAAAATTATGTCTGCATTTTGAAAGAAGGCCTAACAACATAGCAATAAAAAGAAAATGTAACCCCCAAGCAAATGCACAAAACCAGGGAAAATGGGAACACTTCAGGTTTCCTAAAAGAGTCTGGAACCGCAGTTGTCACCAACTTTAAGGAAGCAAAGACCCAAGTGACAGCAGTGTGCTTTCACAGGCTACAAAATAACTTATTCTGTGTGGGCTATCACTCCACACCCAAGACATTCTAAGTATTGAACTTCATATTCTTGGGATGAATTTTGAAGTTGTTCAACTTTCGTCTTAACTCGCCAGAGTGATATTTTATCTCAACAGCAACAAGGCGAGAAAACACCAGCACTCTGAACCCAGAGAGAGACCGTGGCAGGGCTCAATCCGGCTGCTATAGAATAGTTATGTACTAAATGCCCTCTTTGTATAAACAGACACCGTGTTCAAACCCAAGAGGGAGGAACAGGACGTCCACTGGTGTAGTATTTCAAAGCACGTTGCAGAGGGCCTGCAAATCCAAAGGCATTAATTAAATTATGACTTTTCTCTGGGTTTATTAATTTGTTTAAGAAATTCCTTGGAGTATGGCATTTGAGGATGCATTTGCAACCGACAGTGCCTGCCTGCGCTGGTGGGCACACACGGCCAAGAGAGTGGCAGTCACCTTTCCGGCATCTGCTTCCTCGGTGGTTTTTTTCATGGGGAGGCATACTCCAGGGAAATACACCTCGGAATCCCAGCAGCCGCAGAGGCTCCAGGCCCTGAGACGAAAGAGCACAATTCGTCTTGTATCAACACCCTGTAGTTGTAAAGCGCCCAGAGCGAGCCCAGCCGGGAAGGCACAGCTCCACCATATACCTGCTCGTGTTACAGGCTCTGGAATCAAAGTATTCTCACATGACACATTACTACCAATAACAGATTCCGGCTCCGTTTAAAAAAAAAAAAAGAAAAAAGTGGGTGGAGGGGGGCCACATATTTGTCCTGCTTTTGTCTAAAAACCAGAACCCAAGTACCAACTACTTCTCATTCTTTTCGACCTTTCAAGAAAGCAATGCAATCAACCAATTGCGGCTCCACCCAGAGCGCCTCTTATACTTACTTTTCTTACAGTTTTTGAGTGACGCACTACAAAACGATGAAAAAAAGAAGAAGAAGAAGCAGAAGAAGGAAAAGCAGCAGCAGCAGCCTTCTCATGCAGGGCGTCTTCCGCCCTGCAAACTTGGCAAAAAACAAACTGGACTGAAACACAGCACTCTCCATATAAGGCAGCCCAGCTAAACATGTCATGCGTAATTTATGGGTAGCAGGCAGAGAATTAACCTTTGCGTGCACATATTTGGCCCAGATGGAAACCGGGCTGGACCGCCGCCCGGGAAGAGGGATGCAGAGCGGAGACAGGACCCGCGCTCTCCCCACAGGCCGGCAAGTTGCGCGTCCACTCCACGCACCTGTTCCCCGCCCCCGGCGCCCCGGTGCCCTCGGTGACAGCGCCCGCAGCGCCGCAGACCGGCCGCGGCGCCCCCGTGCCCGCCGCCCCGCCCGGCCGGCGAGCGCCCTCCCGCCGCGGCGGCAGCCCACGGCCCGAACAATGCGCGGGCAGAGGTGGCAGCTCACCTCTCACACGCTCTCGGGGCAGCCAGACTGCCCGGCGGGGGCCCGAGGCATTGTGGGAGTCATGACTCCGGACGCCGCGCGGGGACAGCCAACTTGTCAGCGCCCGTCACGCGAGCATCGCGCGCGCCGCGCCCGCTCAGCCGCAGTGGAAAGGCTGTTGCATGTCGCGGTGCGGCCTCTTATCGCCGGCTGCGCTTCCGCCGTGGCCGCGCGGCCCCTCCCCCGCCGCCCAGCCCCACCAGGAAGCCGGCGGCCTCGCAGCTGCAGCGCGCGCGCGGCGGCGCACGGCGCGGCCCCGCGCGCCCCGCGCCCGCGCCCGGCCCGGCCCCGCGCGCCCCGCCGCCCCCGCGCCCCGCCGCCCTGCCCGGGCGCCCGCTCCCGCGCCCGCGCCCAGCTCCCCGCGCCCCGCGCTCTGCGGACGCGCCGCGCCCTGGCCATCGGCCGCCCCCGGGCACGCGGGCTCGCGGAGCGGCCCGGACGCGGCTTGGCGAGGGCGCCGGCAAGGTTAGTCTGAAGGTTAGCCTCCGCTTAGGCCCCAACCTGAGGCTCCCAGGGCGCTGCCGCCCAAAGACGCACCCACGGTGCTGGAACCCGAAGGCTGGAACGGGCGGGAAAAGCATCCGCAGGACTGCGGGGTGGATCTGTCTCAGAACAGGCTGCGCTTGGTCTGGAAGTCCTCGGTAGAACTGGTTGTCGCACAAGCACAGATACAGACCAGCGTCCCATCGTGTTCATGAATGATAGTTGGGTTGTGAAAACCCCCGAATTGCCTGCTCTGTGCTGTGCGATGTACAGAAAGTAGAGATCCTCCTGTAGAAGAAAATATTCTCCAAGATACTGAAATATTCCAAGGCAAATAAGCCATGCCGTTGCCTAAGCAAAAGAAAAAAGCCTCAAATCATAATTCACTGGCGCCTGAGATGCAGCTTGGCTGCACCTCGAATGGAAAGAACCCTGGGCTGCTGTGAGGGGATAACGTTTTGAAGATTTGGGGACAGGATTTCCTTCAAAATTAAGGAATTTGAGTAACTTGCCCAGGGATGATTCTGAGAATGTTTATTCCAGGTTTGGGACATAATTTGAGACAAAATGTAGGTATGGCACAATGTACCTCCAGAGAGGTCACTGGGCAGTGTAGAAAAGGGAGAGGCCAGTTTAAAAAGAAGAAAGGAAAACATCAGGAACAGTGCTAAAGTACAGAATCTTCTAGAAAGACTAATAACAGAACTGAGGTCTTAACCCTTGGCTACATGCACAAAATATTTGAGTTAATGCTTTGTACTGATCACTTCCAGAATGAAGAAATAAGTTGATTAAACGGTGCCACTTCTCAGTGTTAATCATTAAAAAGTACCCAAGTCCCCACACAGTTGAAACAAAGTAAAAGGACACTGACACTTTCTCAGAGAACAGGGATGGGTACTTTCTATTTGCCAATCAGTAACTACCCAAGCTACAAGCTACTAGGACTTCCTTTCTTCTCAATGAGTATTCATTTCCACAACTACAGCAAATGTCTACTATGCCATAAATGCAAGAATGGATAAGAGAGTTCCTACACTCAAAGACGACACTTCTCAGAGGGAAGAGGCAACCCAATTAATTCTGCCTGAGGGACAGTGCTAGCTGTGGGGGCATGCCAAGGAGGACCCTGGGGAGAGTCAGGAAGGCCTCCTGGAGGAATTCCCCCAACTGGTGCCCTGAAAGGCTATAGAAGATGAAAGGAGGGCTGAGTTCCAATGGAGACAGAGAGCACAGCCAAGCCTCTCCAGACTTTCCAGGAGAAGGGAGGGAGGGTCCCACAGGGAAGTGGCTGCAGTTGAGGCTAAAAGTAGACTGTTGATAATCCAAAAGAGTTGTGGCTTTACTCTGAGAACTGATGAGCTAGAGAGGCCTGTGCAGTCAGGACAGTGAACAGAGTCTGGACTTGCAGAAAGACCTGCGGCAGCAGCCAGGAGGGAGAGTGACTGGAGTGTGGGGTGATGGCAAGGGAAGGGTGCATGGGTGTGGACACAGTGGAGAAGTGACTCATGCAGGGAATGAGGAAGGGAGGCGTCTTGGGAGACTTCCAGGCCCCTGGCCTAGCCTACTGGAGTGCTTGTTGCTTGCCCTTCCGTTTCTTCTGTGGGCGGCCCACTCTTTGTGACAGCAGAGGCCTAACTTCCTGACAGCAGAGCCACCTTTGCATCTGCTGGCAGTTTGCTGCCCCAGGTAGCTCCCATGTCCCTCTCCTAAGGTGCCTGGTGAGCTGCCATGGTCTCATCCACGAGTTAATTTTCCATTGTTCTCAGACCCTGTCAACTTCCAAGTTAGAGCTTTAGTGTTCTTTTTTTATGTGAGTCAGAATTTCACTTTATGCAGCAACATGGTGAAAAGAAGGACTTTGAACCTGAGTATGGTACAAGAAGGGAAATTATTTTTCTACTTCAGCACTACACAATAAAGGAACTGCTGGGAACAAAAGAGAAATTGAAACTGAGACAAAATTTCTGCTCTACCTAATGGAGCACAAAGAAATACAAGAAAGACCCTTGAATGTTTAGAACAGTAAAATAAATACTCTAGCAAAGAACAAGAAAGAAAAAAAATGTTATTTTACATTAGATAAGTAGAAAAGGAATGGCTAAGGAAACAACTCTTAAAACAAAATGGTAAATCGAGAACTCAAAACTGAGCCAAAGTAAATTGTAACATAAAACAATATATCCATTGGCTAAAGCTAATCTATTATCATTTATAATGTAATATGAAGAGTGACATTTAAATTTTTGAAGCACTGCAACAAACACTAGATCATGTCAAAATATTAAATCAGGTTGCCAGCTTTCAACTACCAGTAACATCCTAACCACATTGCAAATTGTGGAAATTACTAAGAAATCATTGCAGTAATAAAAAGTTAATAGTTCCCCATTTAGAACATCACTGATATTTCCTCAGTGCCAGGAGAGTACTCTGGTTTCTCTTACTCTGTAAAGTGTAGCTATAGTCCACAGGCCCATGAGTAAGTACATCCATAAGTACAAAAAGAAGGTCATTTGCGGGCGGAAAGGGAAATTATAGAAAACAATTTCAGATGAAATAAAACTACTTTTTCAGACAGAGGAAAGAGTGTTCAGTACAGGTTCCTGAAATACATCAGTCCAGTGAGTCTTAATTATACCAGTACATCCCTATAGGAATACAGATAAGGGATATGGTTTTTAAAGATAACATCAACTCTGTTTACCAATAATACAGATAAAAGAAATGGTAGCATTTATCTTTTTCAGTCAAATGGAGGTCTTTACCACACCCACATAAATGTGTGTGTGTGTGTGTGTGTGTGTGAGAGAGAGAGACTTTTATCTTTCTGTCCTACACGCCACATTCACAGCTCAACAAGCACTCACTGCCTCGCAAATGTAATTTCCTTTTCTGTCCCCTTCTCCCAAATCATCTAAGTGAAACTATCACACACAAAAAGATACTTTTAAAAATGGAAATGTAAAAAGGTCTTGAATCACTGATCCAGGAATGCCATTTTTATTAGACCAGGATAGAAATAATGAATTGAAACCTGGTGTCAAAACTGGGACTCAACGTCTGGTCCCTCCTTATCATGCTAAAATGTAGACGGTTAAGAGAAGAAACTTACAGAAAGCAATGAAGCATCTCAAATATACTTGTATGGAGAAACAGTTTTAAAGAGATGCATTAAATGTATTTTGTTATACATTTCACAGCAGGGGCAGAGGTGGGATACTCTTTCGTAGCCTGAATTCAAATTGTTCAGCTATATGATTAAGTACACTTGATAGAATTACATGAATTCTGTTTATTTTCAAGGATGTTTGTATATTTCATGTGCAAAATAAGTTCTTTAAATGATGTCCATTATTCAACTGTAAATAACATGTATTCTATTATATAATTCTGTATATATAGTATATAACACAATATACATGCAAAATATATACTACTTATTGTACAAATCACATAAATGTGAAAGTATTATATAAAGTCAATATATTTATCTTAAAATGATATAAAAACTAAAACAGCAAAATATCAATTCCATTATACATTTTTCAAGCTATTTTACCTAAAAGCTGAATCTAATCTTCAATGTAACTACTTGGGGATCCGGCAATGGAGAAAGAGAAAACAAATACAGTTCAGAATTAAAATTTCAGAGCCTAGAGTGTGAGCAGGACAGGATGTGGGTGACCTTCTGGCTCTGTCCCCTGTGAGGCCAGCGAAGAGCATCACATAGGGATGAGTAGACTCTGCACTGATGTCTTCTAACTCTTCAGGTCATTTGTTGTGTCTTTTTCCTGAAAGACAGTGGGGACAACAGGAAGCCCAGAGGTGGGCCTAGCAGCTGTCTATGAACCTGGTCAGTTTTACATCTTTCCTTTTCTCTTTCATTTATTCTTTCTTATCCTTTACCTTTTCTTTTCCTTCTCCTTCTTCTTCTTTCCCTACAGAAACCACTTTTTCACACAATGACTGTATTCACCTCACCGATGTTTACTGAGCATCAACCATAGCCGGTCCCATTCTATATCCTGTGGTTACAGAAGGGAACACAGATCACCTCCCCCAAGGGGTTTACATTCTCCTAGGATGAGACAAGCCCTAAACAAGTGAAGAATAAAGAAGAAGATAAGCTCTGGGCAATTTCAGATGGAGATCAGCACTTGGAAGTAAAATAGGCTGAGAGTTGCTGTCAGGCAGGACATACCAAGATGGAGTAACCACAGGTAGGCAGCTGGGCCCTCCACTGGCAAGAGAGCAATGCCTGGGGAAAGACCAAGCAAAGCAGGAG